TCGGGGTTTGAGGTGGGGGGGGGGGGGGCTTACAATATAACCACGCCTGTTGTGAAATGGAAAACTAAATGATTCTTGACAAAAACAATGATGACATTGAATTGTTTGTGTGAGACTAAAACGTGTTCCATGATGACAGGAGCATGTGGGGCCTATGTGATGAAGTTGAAAACTAAATTTTTATTTTATTTTATTTTTTATTATTATTATTAAGTGTTTCTAAAATTCCTTCACGTTTTACAAATTTTTCTTTTATTATTTTTTTTAATGTTATTTAATTTTCTTTTTTTTAGTTTACAGAAAAATGTGCAGATTGTGCTCATCGAAGACAAAATGACATGCGACAAAATTGTCTTTGACAAAGATATGTAGAGTGTATGTCATGTAATGGAGTTATGCAATTGAAGACAACGTTGACTTTTTACAAAAAACAAAAAACATCTTGGTCTAGGCTGTCTACAGCGTTTACAAAAACACATGTGATGGAATCATCTTTGAAAAGAAAAACACACGCTGGCGTCATTCACTCTTCATTGTATTTTAAATCACGACCACCTGTGATGGCATTGGACCAAAAAAAAGTTTTGGCGTAGCAAACTTTCAGACAGAGCGCTTCAAACGACAGATCGGATTTTACAATCGATTCTATGTGACTTGACTTGATGATGATGACGACATCGTCATCCCAGTGCACATTTGTGGCGACACAAAAAGCAGCCTTGCGGGGCGTGATGCTGTCAGCACTGTAATGCGATGGCACACTGACAATGCACAATGAGGGCAGTCTGGCCGGCAGATGGAGAATGTCAAGTAGCTGCTTACTGCTCTTTTCGGTGGCAAAATGGGAAGATAGCACGTTAAAAGACGGTTTGTTGTGTACATACCTGTTATCTGTTACTTTTAGGACAGTCACAAGTATTTGTGGCCGTCTTTGTCTCCCCATGCGTTTGCCTTTTTTTGCCATCTGTGTTCCATATTTGAATACACATGCTTGGTTGCACCGCATGTCCCTGCGGGGCCAAAATCACATGGTGAGCTCTGTGGGAATGCGGCGCCCTCTGGACCACGTCAACCGGCGGCGAATGACCCCTGCTAGAGTCAATGTCTGTGGGAAGCAGCTCGATCACACTAAGAGTTGATGTTCCTTCTATTTATGGAGGGTTTTGTTGTTTTTAAATGCGCTTGTTTGTCTCAAGGTTTTATTTATAGCGTGTGAACAGCACATCACATACCGTGGTTTGTTCCTGTAAATATTTGGTCAAGAAATGGAGGTGTAGGATCCACAAATCACATACTTTTGGATGGATTCTCCTGAAGAGAGATGTTTTCTGTTGAGCTTCTAGAGTTGACCACGATCGGAAACGTCAAGTGAATGAATACAGTAGGCCTACTATAACTGATGATGCACACTTAACATCATTCAGCGTAGCTTTTTTTCTTTCTTTAAATATACTTTGAGACACAGCCAAAAAAAGAGGGAGAATTTCAACATCTTCACCATTTTTTTTTTTTTTGCGCCAGACTGATTCATGATGAGGGAAAAATATGAGTGGTACTAAGACTGACCTATGACAGGTGGTATACAGCTTTTCCTAGCTAGGCTACAGCTACATTGTAGCTAGTACTATGTCATTCCTATTTCTCATATTTACCATCATATTTTTTGTTCTTACCAAAAACGTGCATTTAATCCTTTCTGCATTTGTTTGAAGTCATGTACGATCTTGTGGGATTTGAGACCCACCCACAATAATGTCACGAACAGTGAGCCTCAGTATGTCCTTGCTTCTTGTTTGAATCCATATGATTCCGTTTAACACTCAGAGCTCCGCTAAACGATACAACCCTTGTGGGACACCATTAAATGCGTATAACAAGCACAGCAAAAGTCATATAGCTGACACCGCTTTTTACATGTGGTGACATCCATCTTTGTTCCATCCAAAACTTGTTTTGATCATCGCATACAGTATTGGTATGGAATGGGAAGTATGTAGTACAGAAGCTATGGCAAGAGTTGACATATAAGTGTTACAAAATGTGCATGTATACAACAGGGAGTGTTTTTTTTTCCTCCACGAAATGTGATTGAATTTATTGCTGTTTTAAGTCCTAGGGCTTCATTTATGTTCTCAGCGAAAGTACAGCTCAAAGCAACGTGTAACTCGACGCATGGGTGGAGTTTTCTCTCTTTTGTTTGCTTGTTTTTTTTTTTTTTTGCAGACGCACACAATTAGAAACGGGCGCCTCTTCCGTTGTGGGCGTGAACACAGCCCACTTGCTTCAGTGCAGGAGAGGCACACAGTCTACAAGGCTGGAGTCCTTCCTGAGATTGACGCCCGCAAAGTGTGTTTAAAAGGAATTGCAAAAACATCTCCACTTGCGGATGATGTAAAGTTGGCCATGGTAATTACAGATCACTTTGAAGTGGGCACTTAGAGACCGCTTTCCACCTTGATTGTGGGCTGTGGCCCCTGGTGGGTGATTTTAAAAATATCATCAAGACAAGAATTATACATTCAATGCACACAGCACAACTTCTATGACCTCCACCACACATATTTGCGTAGCTCAGAATCTGTCTCCCTGCATCTCGATCAAATTCCCCCAAATCGCATTCCCACGTGCTCCACAATTTCAACCTGGTTTAATCTGCTCTAATGTTTCGACTCCTTTCAGCCACCGAATTGTCAGATGCGCCAGGGGCGTGTAAAAAGAAAATGCACTCGGTTCGCAACGCGGTCTGCCAAATTCTCAGACACACTAAACGAGGCTTTTACCGCCACAAAAATGAAGATGCGACAGTTTTTAAGCCTGAGTGCATGTACGCTGTCTACGAAAATAGAGGCCAAACTATTTGTATGACTTTCGAAGCATTTATTTCACAGCAACACCAAAAGCCGTATGGTAAACCTCTGGCAAATTACTAGCAAGCTAGCATGCTCAACTCATCTTCCAAAAGAGTTAGCCACCACTGAAAAGGAGAAACCACTCTTGCTTTCCCTTATTAGAAAAACTAATTCGACTTGACATTGTGATGTTTTGTATCACATTTGTCCATCGCCCTCTGTAATTTTCATGTGAACAACAACATTTAGAGTGACCGAGGCTGCGGCCTGGAGCCGCAGGCATTCACTATAAACACACCCGAGACGCTAAGGGGACATCTGTTGGTAAATATAGCGCCACTTCAGACTAGAACACAACTGAAGACATTCTCTCTCAAGCCGTGTTAAGCGAAAAAAAAACCAACAAAAAAAACCCCAACACCAACAAAAAAAGGTGGTTTCAACTCCGAATGTGGTTGCTGTATACTGTAGGCTAGATTCCTGTGGTTTCGAAACAATTATCTGGACCAAAGTCTGGGCCAGAATTAGATGAGTTGTTCTTTGTTACAGATAATGGAGGGCAAAGGAAGAGAAATAAACCATTTCCCTTGGCAGTCTCCAAACTCCCCTAAAACAGTGTTTCACAACCTTTATTTAGCTGTTGGCTTTGTATTCATGCTCAGACGAGTAACATCTTGGTGATAGGCCCCGGTGCAATTTTTATTTTATTTTATTTTTTTTGGGGGGGGGGGGTGCCCAGACCCCTACCAAAATCCAACCACATGTATGCCTGCATGTCTACTCACACGCGCTTGGATGCAACGCCACTCGAGAAAAATTATAATTTCTTCCTCCCATACCAGCCACTAAGTGTGACTGAGCCGCAATAACACTATTGCTGTGGCACCGTCTTGGCATCGAGGAAGGATGTTGAAATAAATGGAGTAGTTTTATTTAGACGTTAACTGCGTCCCAATTTGAGGGCTGCGTCCTCTAGTAGTCTCCACAGGCTGAATCCTTCGAAGGGTCGTCCTCATGTAGTCTTCATGGACTGCATAAACGGTGGCGAATTTTGACTGGACGAGCGTAGAAGAAGAGCGGCATAGAGTGGTGTTGAAGAGCGGGGCAATGTTGGCTGGCCGAAGGCCAGATATTACGGCTAGATTTGAAGTTTCTGGTATGAAGCTAGATTTGACTCAGCATGACTCCGACTTGATCTTAGTTTTACTGTTTGGTGCTTTCTACTGTCTTTGCTTTTGATTTGTTGTTTTATTGTTGTATATATGATAGTTGCTCCATGTACAGCACTTTGTATACAGCGATGGCTGTTTTAAAGTCCTCTAGAAATACAGTTGAGTTGAAGGCCACGTGAATTTGGACACCAGGGCAAATGTACTTCCTGACATTTTGTGGAAGATCATTGAATGGTTCTCCCTGTCATTAAACATCTCTGGCATAGATGGATAAACAACGATACATCATTTGTAGTCAAGAATGATTTTCTGACCAATTAAGTGAAATTCATTTTCTGCAGCACACCTCACGATCTCTTATGGCACGGTAATGTGTTATAGCACGCCGGTTGGGAACCACACGTTGACGGTGGTGACCAATCCGTTGTAGAGGCAAGGGCTGAGGACTCGGGACAGATTACAATGGAGTCATTATTTCTATTGCACATACTGTATTATCTTGAGGAGCCACATCCTTTCCTATCAGTCATTTCTATTGAAGGATGTATGGATATCACACTTTACTCCTTTGCAATCACCGATACCATTCTGTGGTCAGCACCGACGTACCCCCAAAAACCAATGGCGTATTGTGTTAAGCTATCAGATGCTCACTCGCTGAAGTTTCAAAACGATTTGCATGATCACTTTATAATACGGTGAATTATATCGGCATGTTTTCCAGAAAATTTGGTTTGTGAGCGCCCCCTCCCATGCATGCTGAATAGGTTTTGTTTCATTGCAGTGTCTGAGAAAAAGAAAAACACGTGAGCGAGTCGTCCCTCATGCTTTCTCGCTCTTAAACAGCTGCACTTTATCAACACTCTGGCTAAGTGCTGTTTTACACAATCCAGCACCGCTTTTTATGCCTCCTCCCCTTCCTCCTCCTCACATTTCCTGTTGCCCGCCCCCCCTCGTCACCCCCCGCTCTGTCCTTTTTGTCATTTCGCCTTGTCCACCCTTGGTCCATGTTGCCTCATTTGGACAGAGCATACAAACACAACCTAAATGATGACTTGATGAACTTCACAACATCTAAAGTCATTCTACCTCACCCACTTTCCCATCCTCAACTCCCCAAATCCCTTTCCACGCAGGACCCTCCCCCACTTCGGTGACCGACCCATGGCCTCCTTCCAACTCCAAGCATCGGTTTCCTGTCTCTATGTCCTCATGACTTTCATGAGTGGCACTCGCTCATGACACTTATTTCAGTGTTACCTTTCATTTTGAATCCAACTCTCTGACAAATCGCCCCCCTTCCACGTTCCATCAAACATACAGTAAATTATGAACTCCCAAGAAGAAATAGAAAAAGAAAAAAAAAGAAAAATCAAAATCCAGATATTCCATGTGTATCAGAAGAGGGATGGACTGCATTGGCACGTACAAAGTACCTTTATGTTCAGAATGACAGTCGCGTTCTCCTGTGATTGGAAGAGAGACGATTACCCAACATCCCAACCTGTGCGTGCATATAAATGAAATCACAACATAACACAGACAGATGGAATTTCAAGCTCCAGAGAAATCATGCTGCCATCCTGACACGCAGTTATCTCATTTCCACCGCTAGATGGCAGTGCTAGCACACTGTATACCTTGTGTTGAGCAACACTGCCGTGTGTGTTGCAGTTTTTCAGCACGACGTCCTGATCACTTGTTGACCGGTGTTTGATTTTTTTTTTAATGGAAGAAAATGATTGGTGGGGGTGTGGGGGGGGGGTGCCCTCTGTCTCATTTAATTTAAATCCGATTTATATTTCGATGGCAATGTTCTAGAGTCAAGACTAACAGACAACAGGACAAAAGTGATTCATTGATAAACTTTACAAGTGAATCACATTTTGAGCTGTTGTGCTCTTTTTCCTAGTCATGGCGATTGTTGCTCGGCAGGAGGATTAGGGCTCAGGAAATAGCTTCATAAACAGCCGTGTCAGTATTGGGACAGTACCCCCCCCTCCCCCCCATTTTGAATCACTGCTGCAGGGAGGTCGACTTGTTAGCACGTCCGCCTCACAGTGCAGAGGTGCAGGGTTCGATTCCCTGCCCCGGCCTTCCTGTGTGGAGTTTGCATGGTCTGCCCGTGCCTGCGTGGGTCTTCTCTGGGTTTTCTCCCACATCACAAAAACATGCACGATAGGTTGATTGAAAGCTTTAAATGTCCCAAGGTGTGATTGTGAGCGTGAATAGTTTTCACCTATGTATGCCCGACGATTGGCTGACAACAAGTTCAGGGTGTACCCCTCCGACTGCCTGAAGACGGCTTGGGATAGGCTCCAGTATGCCCGCGACCCTTGTGTGGATTAGAAAATTGAATTAAAATGTATTTAGTCTATATAATATATACAGTGTATGAAGAAATAAAACTCACCACTTGCAGCTTCTGGACGGGAATTAAATGTCCCGATGCCCATAACACAAAGTCACCACTGCTTCTTTGTCACCCATCCAGAAAGGAACGTAAAACGTCAAGATTAATAACCATTTAAAATACAGTATATTCATTTCAAAAAAAAAAAAAAAACAGTATTTGGAGAAAGATAATTTAGGTATCCTTTCAAGACTCCAGTCTGTTTTTTTTCATAGGAGCAAAGTGGCCCCGAACCTTAGGGATGCAAGTTGAAAAATTACTGGTCATACAGGTAAATGAAACAATTACCTGGAGCATTCCAAATTTTTACATGCCACCATATGGCGGCAGGCTGAACCCCATTCTGTGAATTTTTGGTGCAAAAGCGGACATATATACATATATCTCGTGTGTGTGTGTGTGTGTGTGTGTGTGTGTGTGTGTGTGTGTGTGTGTGCGTGTGTGTGCGTGTGTGTGTGTGTGTGTGTGCATATACAATGCGTATAATGTACTGTATGTGTGTGTACAGTACTGTATTCAATACTGTACCTGCGCCTTGTTACAAGAGGCGTCATTTGAGCCAATCCGGAACGACCGTCCTCGCGCTCCCCTTTCCCAAAGCGACCAATGGGAGGGCGTGAAGAGGTCATGTCACGCCCCCAGAAGCACAGAGCTGCGTGTGGCCCCACCCTGTGCTGCAGCCCACCACCACCGCCCCCTACCACCACACGCTCGGAGGGTGGACCCGGGCTGAGCAAACAAGTGATCTCATAGCAGCAACAGTCAAAGAGTGCGGCCGTGTTCGTGGAAGCTCGCCTCGGCATGAGGGGCCCCCGTTGAAAGTTCAACCACTGGAAGCATGTTTAGCGGGAAAGTGAGCAAGGTAAGAGCAACTAGTGTGACAGGCGGGTGATGAAGTCCGAGTGGGCTTGCTTATTCGACACATAAGTGTGTGTGTGTTTGCGTGTGTGTGTGTCGGATGAGTGATGCGCACTTTGGATTGAGTGGCATGTTTTCCGCGTGAATTTGACGACGTCGGTTCAAACTGCAGAATTCACGTCGCTGGACTTACTTGGTGGCCTGAGAAAATCGCGCAAATAAGTTCTCTCACACAGCCTGACTCCTTGTAGCGTTTGACTTCATTGCAATGACATGCGCGTCTTCGGGAGGGGGGTCATATGATGCATTAAGCAGTCCGCCCCCACCCTGCCCCTTCTTCCCCTCGGGGTTACTGCGTCAGAGCAAGTCATTTGGCGTTAATGTCACACAGTTAAAGGATTACTATGAAACTCACCAGTGCGCGTAGACGTGTGCGTGCGTGCACAGTCTGCATGTGCAGTGTTTTCCCAAACTCTCCTGAGCCAAGGCACATATTTTACATTAGATCAATGGTGAATTATGTTCCAAACATGGAACACGTGAATGTTCATTGGCGAATGGTACCCCGGTGGCGCACGCATTGATGGGTACGCCAGGCACTGCTGCACGGCACCCAGCTGGTGGCGCTTTTTAGGTTTGTGTTTTCAATTTGTATTTTATATTTAAGACAGATCCATATAACGGTATGTTACTGTTGCACATAAGAGTGAGGACATGTCTCCTCGGAGTTTATGCCGTCATTTCCCAACATATAATTTAAATCTAATTGAATTTATGTCTAATATTTGAATAGAATATCTTAAATTCAGAATATTATATGCCGAATCGAATGGGTCATAACCCGTTGATATTTTGGGGAGTAATTTCCATTTCTGCCTGACTTCCTGTTCCTGTTTCCAGGTGTTTTTAATACAGTTTCATATCTTAATGAGGAAATAGAAATGAATAAACAAGCAAGTCTCATAATCCTTTTAATGTTTTTTTTCCTGAGTAATTTCCTGAGCCCATGCCACAATGTCAGTTGTAAATTGTGTTGCTGTCCGCTCGATGTCCAGTGAATAGCACTGTCAATCCGATTGAAGTGACAGACAGACCTGTAGCAATTTTTTAACTGGTTATAGGTTGTGACTGGTCCCTGTTAATTAAAAAAATGTCTATCCGACCATTTTCTGGTGCTCGTTAGGGTCGTGCGTCAGGCCCAGCTGGCTTTGGACAAGAGGTAGGGTATACCCGCCGATCGCAGGGCATTCACCGATGGACTATTTGGAGTCTTTGATGATATATTATTATATGTTATTCAGCATATTTTGTCTCGAATATCTGGAGGAACCCCACACGAGCATTTGAACCCCGTAGCTCAGAACCGTCAGGCAAGATATGCTAACCGCTAGTATGTCATGCTACCCTGTCGTGAAAACATCTCACCTTAATTATTTATGCAACTCTCCTCTTTCATTCGCTGGAGCCCATGTCATTCACCAGGCCATGCCCCGCCTTTTAAAGCCAAATACACTCAAAGTCACAGATACTACAGTAGAATGTCAGACTGGCGACCCCAAGTGGACAAAACTAATGCCTACACATTATTGTGTTTAGTGATGCAAAATCATTTTTTTTAAACCTGACTACTCGATTAATAGATGGGATTGTCAGTGGAATAATGGATTGTAAAAATATTCCATAGCTGCAGCTATGATGAAAGTATGTTCAGTAAATTTTAGATTTTCCTGTGCATCATGCCTCTGTTGTTGTTTTCTGTTTAAAATGTGACAAAAACCTGCGCAAGGGGTAAAATACCCATCATGAATTCGGCATCTTGAGCATCGTAAAGCGTGGGACCCCACTTGACATCATGTCCGCAGCATGTCAACATGATTAATAATTGTTGTTTGTGTTGGCTCTGCATCATGACGCCTTGTCGGCGTCGCCATCCTGCTTTGCGACGTAAAGAACAACCAGCGAGCAGATAACATTGTCTGCAGTGCCACCAGACTTTCTTCCGTCAATAGCGCTTGTCGTCATTATGAAGTTCTAAAACTATATTTGATGTGTGACACTGGAAAAAGTTTTTTTTAATCAACAATGTCTGGTTAAAAGTTGGAAATAAATGAAAAGATTAATGATGTGTGTCTGGGATAGTTTTCATTCGGTGTAACTCTGGTGCGGGATGATTCTTCACTGCCAGGAGGCTGTTCTTTCCAGGTATTCACTTTCAGCCAAACTTATCCAGCAGTATTAAAGCAAGCCCATTATGTGTTATTCTATTTTGGGGTTTGGGTGTGTGGGGGGCTTTCACCACTGGAATAGCTAAAATGCATCTTCGCCTCATGCAACTGAGTCATCGTTCACACGCCCTGTTATTGGGCCAATGGGCTTTTGTTACTGTGGTGACTCGGGGGGAACTTAGCAGGAGAGGCTATTTGTTTTCAAACAGCCTGCGGTCTGAAAAGAAAAGCGATTTGGATTTGAACAGCGAAAGCCAGAAATTTTCACTTGTGGAGGCAGCATGTACTACTGTATTCCTGAGTCACTGAATTCCATTTGCCAATTAGCGCGCTGATCCATGCAGGTGGCGCATACGGGGGACCAACTCAAATACCGCCGCCCCATGTAGCCAACTTCACCGAACGTTGATGTATGTGTCGCCTGTCACAGACTAACACTGCACCTCTGCTTAACTTTTGGCTTTGACATGATTCTGTTTAGTTCACTTCAAAGTGGCAGCTCTTTGCCCATCTTCATTTTCACTTGAAAATTCGGCAACATTTTGAACGGCTTGCTTCAACACACACTTTTGGAAATAGGCAGATAAAAGATTGACTTGTTTGTTGAATTCCACACGTGACAGGCGAGCAGGCACCGCAACCATTTCCGTACACGCAGTTGAAAAGTCACATTTCCATGATGTGTTCCCTTTAAGATAGCTTGGGATGCAGATGATGTCCAACTTCATCTCCAAGTCGCAACAGCTGCGTTCCTGCAAGCTGACTGATGCCTGGATGATGCCACGCTCTCTCTGGGCCCACTTCAGTTCACATGCTTTGCATTTTTAAAGCAAAGCAGATGTTGTATTTTGCTGGTAAACATGAATGAAGGCAGCTGGGCTGTCAGTGCTGGATTTTATGTGCGTGTGTGTGCGTGTGTGTGTGTGTGTGTGTGTGTGTGTGTGTATACTTGTTTATGCGCTAACAGCAGCAGTCCCGAGGAGCGGAAGTGCACTGTGGTGGTGCACTGACCTCACCTCAGGAACAGGCACTCTCTGTTCCCTTCCCTGCCTGTCCCACCCAGT